TGAGACACTGGTGGTAGGAAGGTAAGCGATGATGTGGGCCCAGCCCAGACCATCTGGTTTTCATATGCCTGGGTAAGTGATGAAGTGCCCTAACACTCCGTGTTCCCATGATTTTTCTTTTTTGCAAGTATTCAGGGGGGAAAATGATGGCTTTACCAGTTCTAGAAAACACAAGTGTTCACTTTTATATTTCGGGAAGGTTTAGGTCGAACACTGTGAGTGTTGTGGCATTACATATATACAAGTATTTATCTTGTGTTGCATCCATAGTACTATTGATAAGATATTTAGAAGTGTCCACACACTGGTAGTTTTCTGACATTGTTGCTAACTTTTAATTAACCAGTACTCAGAGTTGGTTTGTTCCATAATGATGAGATGAATAATCTCATTTGCAAATGTCATGGTAGAAAAAGTTGTTTCCGTTAACACCGAATTCATAACGTGTTTTACAGATCCTTGTCAAGACCTCCTGATGAACTTGGCATCAATCATTAATAGGGGCGGATATGTTGTTGTTACGCAGGTAAGTGAGGATGTGGCGTGGCCCTAAACCACGGCTCAGGACATCCAGTCTCCAGAGAGCCAGGGAAGTGACGATGGTGTCTCTATGAGCTGTTACCTGATTTCTTTACAAGTATTCAGGTAGGAGCTGATAGTCCTTTCTAATTCTAGAAACTGTGAGTTTTTACTGTTTGTATTTTAGAAAAGATGTTTGTTTAGCCCTGTGAGTGTTAAAGGATTGCCATAGCCAGATATTTACCATGACGTTTCCAACCATAGTAATGACCTTGGAAATTTTGCAGGTGTCCTATAATGAAATATTGTCTTACCTGACGACAGTGGTCTTGATCTTGGAGGACTGCGAGCTTTCAGGTAGAGGTGATGTTCTCATAATAGTGAAAGTGACAAAGGTTATGTAGAGGTGTTCTGGTTACAGCAAGTCACATCCCTTTACACATATACCATGATGTATTTGTCAGGTTCCTTCAAGATCATGAAGCACTTAACAGTGGTCGCTGATGGGGGACGTTTCTTGTCTCAAGGTATGTGGTAATGTGTATCTTTACCGCATCAGACCCTCTGATTTCTGTGTGTGTGTGTGTGTGTGTGTGTGTGTGTGTGTGTGTGTGTGTAATAGGTAAGGTGCTGATTGCCTTAGCTTGTTTTACTGTGTGATTCTTTTTGAGGTAAGAAATGATCATGTTTTACCAGTTCTAGAAATCATGTTATCCTACTGTTATCTACTCTAGAGGAAACTTATGTTTAACCATGTGAGTGTTGATCAGTTTGTGGGTATCCATATAACGATCACGAAGTTGTGCATCACACTAGTGACCATGGTATTTTTACTGGTAATTATTCAAGAGATGATGGTGTTTCTGACAGTGGTGTAGACTGTGGAATACTGCAAGAATCCAGGTAGAGTTGATGGGTCCTGCAATGACGAAACTGAGCAATGTTATTTGGAGGATCCTGGTAGGAGAAGTATGTCCATAGTCACCTTTATCATAATGTGTCTTTCAGGTTCCAGTCAAGAAATCATGGTGTACTTCATAATGACCATTAACAGAACTTTGCTCGCAGCCAGGTGAGAGATGATAGGAGCCTAAAGCACCTTACAAACAATCCAGTCTTCAAATATTTAAGTTAGCATGGATGGGCCTAACATTTGTGATAGCATGTTTTTCTGTGTGTATTCAGTTAAAAAATGATATTGTCCCAACCAATGTTAGTAGTAAGCATTAGCCTTTAGTACTCTAGAGTTTACGTTCAATGGGTGTTTAAACTTAACAGTGGGGGAGGCATATAACAGGCGTCTAGGTAAGTTTTTCTACTCGTACCTATCTAAGGTCTTTGCTAGTATAAAAATATGAGATGATGTGACAATAAGTCATTAGGGATTTCTTATCTTCAGATATAGGTAATTAATGTTTCCTAGACCTTTAATCTCGGCATATACACAGTTCAGAAATGAATTTGTTGGGGCGCCTGGGTGGCTCAGTTGGTTAAGCTTCCGACTTCGGCTCAGGTCATGATCTCTCAGTTTGTGGGTTCAAGCCCCATGTCGGGCTCTGTGCTGACAGCCAGCTCAGAGCCTGGAGCCTATTTCAGATTCTGTGTCTCCCTCTCTCTCTGACCCTCCCCTGCTCGTGCTGTGTCTTTCTCTCTCTCTCCCTCTAAGAAATAAATAAAACATTTAAAAAAAAAAAAAAAAAGAAGAAATGAATTTGTCCCTAACGGTGGTAGTGAGCATGAGGTTTTACTGTCTCCTTATTCGGAGATAGTATGTGTTTTTACACTCATACCAATGGACCTATAGTCCGTTATCTATCCAGCTAATTTGTCATATATTCCATACCCATGATAATGACCACAGGATCTTTGCAGGTATCCCCTCAAAAGATGAAGGGAAATCTAACTAGAATTAACCTTTTGAGGTCTGCATATTACCCAGTAATGTTAAAAGGGTCCCAAAATAATACACTGACCAAGAGAATTTGCAGTTGTCCAAGTAGAATAAAAAATGTGTAGGGAACAAGTTTTCTATGCTGTGTTCTCAGGTTCCTGTAAAAACATCATGGGGAGTGTATCCATCATGGTAAATGAGGCACATAGAGGTGTTGAGGTAAGTGATGATGTGGGCCTGAACCACAGCACAGATCATCTGATCCGATGCGCAGGTAAGGGATTATGGCCCTAACACTTCTTGTTACTATGATTTTGTTACAGGTATTCAGGTAAGAAATAGTCCTTACCAAATCTAGTGACCTTGACTTTATACCCTTTACATTTTAGACACAAATGTTTAACCCTGTGAGTTTTGAAAGTTGATTGTATCCATAACTGTTCATTTCCCACCCCAGTAGTAAGCACAGTATTTCTGCAAATGTCCAGGTAAGACATGATGGCTTCCTTCTGTTGAAGCTGTTGACCTGAGTTGATGCAAGTATCGAGGTAGAGTTGATGTGCTCCATAATAACGGAAGTGCAGAGGGTTATTGGCAAGTGCCCTGGTAGAGCAAGTCGTGTCTGTAAACATATCCATCCTATGTGTTTCTTCAGTTTCTTATCAAGAAAATACAGTCAACCTCACAATGTTTTTGTTTGTTAATGGAACCATCTGCTCTTCAGTGTGAAGGTGGATGAGGAAGATGTTTCTAACACTTGTGTCACCGTGTTTGTTTGCACATATCTTGTTCAGCTCTTTGCTGCTAGTTTTTATTTTCAGATATCTATGTGATTAATGTTCAGGACTCCTATTTATCTTCAATTGGTGTATATGCAGTTAAGACATTAATTTGACCCTAATAATACTAGTAAAACTTAGGTTTTTCATATTCTTATTTAGAGATAATGTATAATCCAAGTAATTTATCCTATTACTATCATCATTCTATTGACCTTGGGGAATTTTTTTCAGGTGTCCCTTCAAGAGAAGTAGATGTCTCTTCACAGGGTTTATCCTTGGAGTTCTGCAAGTAAGTATCCAAGAAACACGGAGGGGTCTCAAAATGATACACGCGATCAAGGGAATTTGCAAGTGTGGAGGTAGAATAATTCATGTACCCAAAACAATTTCCATGATGTGTTTTCTCAGGTTAATGAGAAGACCTCGCAGTGACCTTAGCAATGATAGTTACTGTGAAACATTACTGGAATGGAGGTAAGTGATTCTGTGGGTCTAAACCATGGCACATACCATCTGATTTTCATACAGCTAGGTTAGTGGGGAGTGTCCTTACACTTCTTGTTACCATGAATTTTTTTTAAGGTATGCAGATGAGAAATGATAGTCCTTAGCAATTCTGGAAACCATGAGTTTTTTCCTTTTTATATTTTAGAGAAAATTTTATTTTATCCCTGTGAGTAATGAGGGGCTGCCATATTTAGGTAATTATCATGATATTCCTAACCCTAGCAGTAACCATGGAAATTTTGCATTTGTTTCATAATGAAATGTTGTATCTGATAATGATCTTGACCATGGTTGGAATTAATTAATTGTGTGCTAGTAAGTATTAGCCCTTATTACTATTTTTTTAGAGTTCCCATGTAATATGTGCTTAACCTGAGCAATGACAGAAGGATATGAAGATGTACAGCTAAGTCAACAGTACTGACCTTGAGATTTCTACAGGTACTCAGAGATGATCTGTCTCTAACACTGATGTTGACATTGAACTTTTGAAAGATCCAGATAGTATTGGTGATTCCCTTAATGATGTGACTATAAAATGATTTGTTGGTACCGTGTTTTGTTTTGTTTTTATTTCTCACAAATAAAACTAACGGTCATTAAGTCCCTAAACATTTGTTTTTCAGTTTCCAGAAGTCGTGATATACTGAACCTATACATGATTGTGAGTTGAACTTTGATAATCAGGTATGTGCTAACGTGGGTGTAACCCCAACACAGATCATTCGATATTCACATATCTAGGTAAGTGAGGATAGTTCTCTCTCAACACAGTGTTACATGGTTTGTGTTGTTTTCTTTGCACGTATAACTGTTACGGTCTTTGCTAGTGTACAGCTAGGAGATGATGTGACAATGACTCATTAGAGACCTTCTCCATTTCACTATCTACAAAATTAACATTGTAATTAATTAACATTAGACTCTTATATTTCTAGTTTTTGCCATGTTTATAGGTAAGAAATTAATTTCTCCCTAGTAATACTGGTAACAATGAGATTTTTTTAAAGTAGGCTTCACACCTAACATGGAGCCTTCACACCTATTCATGACTGTGAGATCAAGACCTGAGCTGTGAGTCACCCAAATATGTTTTTCATATTTGTGTCAACATATCATGGTAAACCTGTCATTGGTAGTTACCATTGGACATCGTTGTATGGAAGTAGGTGATAGTGTGGGCCTACGTGCCATCTCTATATATGACATTCATATATCTATGTAAGTGTTGTGTTTCTCACATTTCTCATTACCATGACTTTTTTATAGGTAGTCAGATAAGAAATTACAGAGCCCTTAACAAATTCTAGCAGCCATATTATCCTACTGCTTTTTATGTGTTAGAGAAAACTGTTTGACCATATGATTGTTGAGCAGTTTACAGACAGCCACATAATTATGATTGAGCTGTGAGTAACAGTAATCACCCTGGCATTTTTAAGGAGAGCAGTCAAGAGATGCTCTCTCGAACGATGGCATAGAGTATTGCAAGAGTCTAAGCAGAGTTGATGGGTTCTGCAGTGATGACAGTCAGCAAGATTATTTTCTGGGTCCAGGTATAGAAGGTGTGACTATAGACACATTTGCCACAATGTGTTTTGCAGACTCCTGTCAAGAGATTATGGTGAACCTCTTAAAGACTATTAAAGGGAATTTGCTTGTATCAGGTAAGTGAAGATCAGACCATCTGACCTTCAGGTATCTCAGTGTTAATGGTGCTATTAACATTTGTGTCACCACGGGTTTTTTGCAGTTACTGTTATGATGTCCCAACCAGTGCTAGCACGCGTTAGCCTCTGTTACTTTAGAGTTTAGATACAACGTATATTTAACCTTAGTAGTGAGTGAGGGGTATGTAGGTGGCCTGGCCACTCACTCAACTGTTCCACACCATGGAATTCACGAAGATTTCAGTAGCTCTTCGGAAAACAGATGATGGTGTCTCTAACACAGGTGTTTACCTTTAAACTCTACCAGGATCCAAGTAGTCTTGATAGCAGTGATGGAAGTGATGAAGATTATTTGTAGGATTTTTAAAAATTTTTTTGTAGATAAAACAATGTTTGTCCTTCAATGTACTTGTCCATTGTGTTCTCAGATTCCAGCTGTCATGAAATCATGGTGCACCTAACAGTGGTCATTAGCAGGACCTTTCTAGCAACCAAGTAAGTGATAAAGTGGGTCTTACCTCAGCACAGACCATGTGATCTTCAGATAATCTAGGTGAGTGAGTATGGTTTCCCTAACACAGTGTCACTTTGGTTGTCTTTTTTTGTTTATTTTTTTTGGCAAGTGCCCTGCTAAGTCCTTTCCTAGTATTCAGGTATGAGATTGTGTGGCATTAACTCAATAGCTGCTTGTTTTTCATATATGTAAATGATGTTTTCAACACCATATTACCTATGTTTTTGGCATGTATGCAGTTCAGAAATTAACTTGACCCAAATAGCACTAGTAAGCATGAGATTTTACTATATTCTTATTCAGAGATTATGTGTTTTTATACACTTGTAAATAGGCGGATATCCAGGAAATTGTTCATACTGCCCATCACCGCATTATTGACTGTGGCATTTTTGCAGGTATCCCTTCAAGAGGAAGGTGTCTCTTATTAGGGTTTAACCCCAGATTTCTGCCATTATCCAGGTAACGTTGATGAATTTCAATGATACAGTTGACCAAAGAATCTGCAGGTGTCCCTCTAGAATAAGATGTGTACCAACCACATTTTCCACAATTTTTTTTTCAGGTTCATGTGAAGACCTCACTATGAGCCTGTTAATGGTAATTAATGGTGTGTACATAGCAGGTACTGAGGTAAGTGATAGTGTGGGCCTAACCCACAGTACAGATTATATGATCTTCATACATATAAGGAAGTGATGCTGGTGTCCCTAACATTTGTGTTACCATATATTTTTCCAGGCATCCTGTTCAGGTCGTTGATAGTACACAGGTATGAGGTGATGTAATATTAACTCACACATGTTCTTGTTTGCAAATATCTATGTAATTGTTTTAAAGACTCCTACTTCCCTTGCTTTTTTCAAGTAGAAGTTAAATTAATTTGACCCTGACCATGGGGGAAGGTAGAAAAATTTATAAACAGAGAGGGGAGGGGGAGGCAAACCATAAGAGACTCCTAAGTACAGAGAACAAACTGAGGGTTGTGGGTTTCCCACTAGAGGGGAAAGTGGGTGATGGGCACTGAGGAGGGCATTTGTTGGGATGAGCACTGGGTGTGGTATGTACGTGATGAATCACGGGAATCTACCCCCAAAACCAAGAGCACACTGTCTACGCTGTATGTTAGCCAACTTGACATTAAATTATATTTTAAAAAATAAATTGATTTGACCCTAATAATACTAGCAAGCAGTAGTTTTTATTGTTTTCTTATATGGAGATGATGTGTATTTCTCACTCATACTTGTGTGTCACATATCTAAGCCATTTATCATATTATTCTAACTGCATTATTAACCATGGAATATTTGCAGGTATTCCTTCAAGAGAGGAAGGTGTATCTTACTAGGGTTTAACCTCAGAGTTCTGGAAGTGTCCAGGTAATGTTTATGGGTCTCCAAATGATACAAGTGATGAGAAAATTCGCAGGTGCATGGGTAGAATGAGACATATTCCAAACATAAACCACCATATGTTTTTCAGAACATGCCAAGAGATCACAGTGAGCCTGTCTATTCCAATTAATGCAGAGACATCACTGGTATTAAGGTAAGTGATGCTCTGGGCCTAATCCACGACATAGACCCCCTGATCTTCCCATATTTAGGTAAGTGATAACCTGTGCTGACACTTCCTGTTGCCGTGATTTTGTTGCAGGCATTCAGGTAAGATGTAAGAATCCTTACCAATTCTAGAGACTACAAATTTTTACTTTGCTGTCTTAGATAAAACTTGTATTTAACACTAGGAATGTTAAGAGATTAAAGGTATACAGGTATTTATCATGGTTTTCCCACCATCGTACTACCCATAGGATTTTTACAAGGGTCCAATCAAGAAATGATAGTTTTCTGACATTGATGTTGACCTTGGAGCATTACAAGTATCCAGGCAGAGTGGATTTGTGTCATAATGGTGAAGGGACCAAAGTTGCTTGCAGGTGTCCTGGTAGCAAAAAGCTGTGTCCTTAAACATATGTTTCATAAATTTTTTTCAGATTCCTGTCAAGAGCTCACAGTGAACGTAACACTGGTCATTCATGGGGATGCTGCTGGTATGCAGGTAGGGGATGGTGTGGGCCTGAACCACAGCACAGGCCGTCTGGTCTTCAGATAGCTAGCCGAGTGATGGTGGTGTCCCTGACACTTGCTACCATGACGTCTGCAGGGACGTTCAGGTAGGAACTGATAGATCCCTTGCCTGTGGAGAAACCATGACTTTTCATTTCTTATGTTTTAGAGGGAAGTTTTGTTGATCTCTGTGAGTGTTGAGTAGTGTCCTATCCAGGCAGTTATGATGATGTTTCCAGCTACAGTAGTGACCATGGAAATGTTGCAGGCATCCTGTTAAGGAAATGTTGTCTCAGCTGACCGTGATCTTGAGCTTGGAATACTACGGGCATTCTGGTATGGCTGATGTTTCACGGTGACAAAAGGGATGAAGATTATTTGCAGATGTCCTGATAGAACAGGCTGTGCCCTTATACGTAGGTCATACTGTGTTTTTCAGGTCCATGTCCCGTGATCGTGGTGAACCTAATGGTTAGTGATAGGCCTTCCTGGTATCCAGGTAAGTGATGACGTGTACCTTCCTCACAGCAGACACCATCCAGTCTCCATATACTGAAGTAAGTGACGTTTGTTCTCGTTTGATCATGGGATGGGGTTTTTTTGCAGGTTTTCAGGTAAGAAATGATGATGTTTGGGGGCGCCTGGTTGGCTCAGTCAGATAAGCGTCTGGCTCTTGATTTCGGCTCAGGTCATGATCTCACAGTTAGTTCAAGCCTCGCACTGGGCTCCACACTGACAGTGTAGAGCCTGCTTGGGATTCTCTCTCCCTTGCTCTGTGCCCCTCCCCCACTCGTGTGTGAGTGTGTGTGTGTGTGTGTGTGTGTGTGTGTGTGTACGCGCGCGCGCACGCATGCAGTGAGCATTCAAGAGATAATGGTGTCTCTTATGGTGAGATCAGCCTACCTAAGGTTCCAGGTAGACTTAATGAGTCCTGCAGTGATATGAGGGACAAGGTTTTTACTGGGGTCCAGGTAATCAAAGTGTGTTTTTCAGGTCACTGTTAAGATACCATGGTAAGCCTCATGCAGATCATTAAAGGGATTTTGCTTGGATCTGGGTAAGTGATGATGATAGTCTTTTCCATGCAGTAGGCCATCTAATATTCAGAATATCTAGATAAGTACAGATGGTGTTCCTAACTCTGTGTTGCTGATTTTTTTCAGGTATTCCGCTAAGAAATGATATTGTCAATCAATGCTGGTAAGCAGTAGCCCTTTTTTAAAAAAATTTTTTATTTTATTTATTTATTTTGAAAGAGAGAGAGAGAGAGAGAGAGAGCGCGCATGAGCAGAGGAGGGGCAGAGAGGGTAAGAGAGAGAATCCCAAGCAGGATCCACACTGTCAGCATGGAGCCCAGTGCAGGGCTCAAACTCCCAAAGCGTGAGATCATGAGCTGAGCCGAACTCAAGAAATAAAATGCCCCAGCCCGTGTTATTTTAAAGCTTAGATGTAACGTTTGTAAAGCCTCGGTAGTGACAGAGACTACAGAAGTGCCCAGGTAGTTTACCATTTTGTCCGCCTCCTGTTTATTGACCGGAGATTCTCACAGTACTCTTGTCGAGTCAGTATGGTGTCTCTGACTGAGAGTTGACCTTGAACTTCTGCAAGTTTCTAGGTAGATTTGATAGGCCTCATAAATTGAATGGGATTTTGCAGCTGTTCAGAAAACACATGTATTCCTAACAGAGTCAAACCATGAATTTGTATAGAATCCAATCAAGAGATGATGGAAGACCTTACATCATCTCTTGATTAGAAACCAGAAAAATCCCAAAGTAAATACTATGGTCATGATGAGCACTGGGTGACGTATGGAATTTTTAAGTCACTATATTGTACACTTGAAATTAATACTACACTGTATGTTAACTATACATATATATAAGGGGATTCAAAAACAATCCCAGGGAAGAATGACCTATTCCAGTTACGTAACGATATTTTCCATTTCCAAGAGCTGCCTATGGAAAAAAATCTTGCTCAGATTCCTTCAACGAGAAAGATCAAATGTACTACATATGAGTGAATGAATAACTTCAACCTGTGCTAGTGAAAGAATAAAGTTGAATGCGTGAATGAATGAGTGAGTGAATAAATAAATACGTACTATTGTTAGTTGAACCATCATCTCCTGATTTGTATTTTCGCAGACACACCCGCTCAAGAAGAGATCATGGCTCTATTCAAGGTCTCGTCCCTGGAACTTTGCAGGTATCTGGATAGATGTTATGGTTACCTGTAAGTCTGCAGTGCTCAGTAGGTTTTCAGGTATCCAGGTTATAGAATTATCTGCAAACGCTGTTCTCTCTTTGGCTTTTGTAGATTCCATTTAAGAGATGGTGGAGAACCTCGTGTGGTATTAAAGGCAAAGTTTTACTTGCACTTAAGTACAAGACAGTGGTGTTTATACCAGAGCTGGAGCTCGTGAGATTGTGCAGATTTCCAGGTAGAGAGGGTCGGTGTTTTAAGCCAACATAGTGGCCGTGTTTATTTGTCAGTATTCTTATGCTGTAAGTAGTGATCGGGGAAATTTTGCAGATACCCTGTCACACTGTGAAGGCATCTCTAACTAAGGTGTTTTTTCTTGGAAATTTGTAGGTGTCCAGGTAAGAGCTGATGGTGGCCCTAATCCAGATAACGACCGTGGGATTTGCAGTTATCCAAGCAAGAGACGACACGCCCCTACTGTGATCTTGAATCCCCTGCACATTTCTAGGTATCCAGGTAAGAGATGGTATTTGTCCGATTATACTGGTGACCGTGGGGCTTTTACTGGTCTGCAGGCAGATGATGATCATGTCTGTAGCTAGAGTGCTGACCTTTGAATCGTACATGTGTCCAGGTAAGAGTTGATCTGTCCCTTACCATGCTAATGGCCTTAGGATATTCTAGCTGTTCAGACAAGGAGTCGTATGTCCTTAACCGTGTTGGTTACCACAAGATTTTACGGGTGTCCACGTAAGATCCCATGTATCTACAATACATTGTTTCTCTTCAGATTTTTAAGGTATTCTGGGATGAGATGGTGATGTTCCTAACGACACTAATGATGACAGGAGTTTGTACATATCCACTCAAGAGCTGATGGCATCTCTCGCAACGTTGGTGGCCGTGCAAATGAAAGAAATGGAATGCTTTTTTTTTTTTTTTTTTTTTTAATTTTTGGAACTATTTGATTTGTTAGAAGAATTATGACATTCAATGACTATTAAATATTATTCAAAATTGTATTTTCTCATATTCAGTTTCTTCTTAATGACATTTGCACCAGGAATCTCAGGCCCACATTTATGAACTATTTTTTAATATCTTGGAGCCATCAATACAGACCTCCTTCATACGAAATGTGGTTATTCCTAAAGAAAACTAGGCCATAGACCCAATTCTTTGTTAAAAGGGTTGGAGAAACCAAGGAAGAGAAATAATGGTGTACATATTTTGGGGGAAAAAATTTGTATCACCGTCCTGATATGAATAGGCATTAGATGATATGTTGGAAAAAATATGTGAAACATGATAGGGTTTAATGGGGACTTGAATATCTCTTCTCTAATTTTCGGTTGTTAAATTACTTAGCTTATATCATTACCATATACAAAAGGAGAGCTGAGTAAGAATTTGGTGATCATTGGGGTGCCTGGATGGCTCCGTCGGTTAAGCGTCTGACTTGTTTTCAGCTCAGGTCATGATCTCATGGTTCATGAGTTTGAGCCCTACATCAAGCTCTGCACTGGTGGCCCAGAGCCTGCTTGGGATTCTCTCTCTCTCTCTCTCTCTCTGTCTCTCTCTCTCTGTCCCCACCTGCATGTTCTTTCTCTCTCTCAAAGTAAATATATAAACTTTAAAAAACAAAAGAATTTGGTGATCATTCAGCCCACCGCAACCATGAATGAGAGAGGGCTGAGTGCAGAGAGGTTAATCAAGGTCACACAGTTGCCTAGTTGAGCTGTCTAGTTGTGAAGTACACTTTCCACTATCCTGCTCTCTCGGTTTGAAAACCTGAGACCGATTAAAAAGCAATAAAGCAAGTGCTCAAGTGCTTTTTGAATCATTATAGCTCAGGAAATGTACTTCTAATTGGCCAGACTGTTCATCATGCACTTGGCTTTTTTGTTCATATATTCAGTATAAAATTCTTCTTGTCCCTCGGTTTCCATCCTAAACCCCCAGCTACAGATGTCTCCCAATGAAGGGAAGCGACCTAGTCTGAATTTCAATTCAGCCAAGTGGGGTCCCTGTGAACTTCCATTCTCCCCTGGTATAACCGTTCTGAGATCCACTCACAGCCGTTGTTCATCCAAGTATGGAACCGCCACTCTCCATGTTAGCACCATGGAACAGCTCCTACCCGGAGCAAGACCCGGGTAGGTCTAATTCCATAGGAAAAGAGAAGGAAAGGGTTGAATCTGCAGATGACAATAATGTTAGAGAAGGAAAATTAATGAAGATAAACTTGACAAGATGCCTCCACCCCCGTCCGTGCGCACGGTATCACTCAGTACTTTTTTTTTTTTTTAATGTTTTTTTATTTATTTCTAGGAGAGAGAGAGAGAGACAGCATGAGAAGGGGAGGGTCAGAGAGAGAGGGAGTCACAGACTGAAACAGGCTCCAGGCTCCGAGCTGGCTGTCAGCACAGAGCCCGACGCGGGGCTCGAACCCACGAACCGCGAGATCATGACCTAAGCAAAAGTCGGACGCTTAACCGACTAAGCCACCCAGGCGCCCCCACTCAGTACTTTTTTTAAGTACGTGAGTGCTTCTTGACAGGTTGGATGATTATGGGTCAGTTCATTCAACCACCTCTCTTTCTTCTGGTGTGTGAAGGCATGAAAGCTAAAACTCCATTTCCCAGACTTCTTGCAACACGGATGTGTGATTCAGGTGCCATCATCCACTGTGGCAGTATGTTTGACTCTTCCTGGAATTAAGTCCCTGATAGAAGGGCAAAGGGGTGACAAGCATTTTGCCGGCATGGATTGTGGCAGGGGTGTCATGCTTCTGGACAGAGGTGGATGAGGAGCTTGCAGTTCATGAAGTAGGTACACCAACGCTGAAAATGTAGCTCAGTGTCCAACATGCTAGTTAAGGAAACGTTCTTTCTTTTTCCCCACTTTTTTTTTTTTCTTTCAGTTTTGGAAAATTCTGCGGACAATATTGTCATAGAGTCGAGAGGCTGAAAAAGCCAACCATTGTACCACCACCAAAACACATAAAGAACCAAGGAAAAATTAATCCTCCGTATTAATACATATTACATAGTTACTCTAAGGTCGATATAATTTTGTGTTCTGATTTCTATCTCTTAAAATTGTAAATATATATGCACATATTTTACTGTCTCACAAATTGCAAAAATGACCAGGAAAAAATTAAACCTGGAAACTGGTGCACGTAGAAGTCCTTCATTCAACACGAAGTACCTAGCAGTAGTCGGTACAGTTCCACGCTCTGGGGGTCTCACCAGTCAAGAAGCTAGATCAGCCATGCCCTAAGGGAGATTACATTTTCTAGTATGTTCCCATTCCAGGGACCCATCCATCTGGTGGCCCCGTTATTTCAGGATTTCATGACCCCAGCATAATTATTAATAGCTCTCACTCTCAAGGGTGTCTCATTTTGGACAATAGATGAAATGGACACCGTGGATATAATGATAAACGAATAAAGACATAGTTTAATTAGAAAAACAAGTGCTGTAAGGATATAGGGTAAGGGGATGGTGATTGGGGAAAGGGACTTCTTTGAGTGGTCAGGGAAGTTCTGAGGACAGCTAAGTTAGTGAAAAGAAGGAGACAGCCGAAGATTGAACAGGTGAGCGTTGTAGGAAGGGCAAATGCAAGTAGACAGAGGACGGGATTTAAAAAGGCATTTCCAGGAGGACAGAAAGAGGCAATGTGGATGGAGCGCAGCGCATAATGGGGACGAGTGGCCACGGGAGGTACGGGGGCCAGACTGCGCAAGGCCTTGTATATCGTAGGGAGGAGCTTGGCTTTCATTTGACATGCAGTGGGTGGTCTTTGAAAGAGAACAAAGTAACTTAATTTGTGTGTCTTTGCCCAGTTTACTCAATTCCATAGCACAGCAAATCCGCACCTGAGGAGGCACTCTGCGGTTTAGTTTTATTTTCTTTTTAATTTTTTAAAATGTTTTTATTTATTTCTGAGAGAGAGAGAGAGAGAGAGAGAGAGCGTGAGCAGGGGAGGGTCAGAGAAAGAGAGAGACACAGAATCTGGAACAGGCTCCAGGCTCTGAGCTAGCTGTCAGCACAGAGCCCGGCGCGGGGCTCGAACTCACGAGCCGTGAGATCATGACTTGAGCCGAAGTCGGTCACCCAACCGATTGAGCCACCCAGGTGCCCCCGGCACTCTGCGGTTTAAAGCCCAGTGGCTCCTTGTAGTAATGCCACAGGGACCATGACTTGATGCAAAATCATGTCCCTTTATGACCAACACTGGAATGGGAGGGAAATTCTGAGAGGACTCGAAGCTTACTACCAAGCTTAAATTCTCACAAAACCTTTACAGCGCTTCCCCCAAACTATTAAAGGATAAAATACATCAAAGTCTTCCATTTCAGGACGTTAGAAGAGACTTGCAAACAAATGTGAATTTTTACCAGTTCACTCCATTTCCCGTCTCCTCATCTCTGCTATTTGTTAAGGATTTTGCACTTGAAGGTAGTCGAGATGAGTCTCCAGACACAAGGAGTGGCAGTTGGGGCAGACGGACTCCCCTGGTTGGAATTGGTTCGGACAGGGAGGGAGGAGCGGGGCTCCACAGTCCGGGGGCGGGGGGGGGGGGGGCCGGGCCCGAGTCACATTCCAGCAGCTCCTACGCCGTCTTCTAGGCGTCGTGAGGTGGTGCGGCTCCGAGGCTCAGCTCCCTCCGGCTGTGCTCAGTCACCGGGGCCCGACACTTGGCCACCCACGTTGTCCGCAACGCAGGGGTGCCGGGCCNCTCCCCTGGTTGGAATTGGTTCGGACAGGGAGGGGGGGGGGGGGGGGGGGGGGGGGGGGGGGGGGGGGGGGGGGGGGGGGCCCGATGGGTGTTCCAGCAGCTCCTACGCCCCTCCTGAGGCGTCGTGAGGTGGTGCGGCTCCGAGGCTCAGCTCCCTCCGGCTGTGCTCAGTCACCGGGGCCCGACACTTGGCCACCCACGTTGTCCGCAACGCAGGGGTGCCGGGCCGCAGAAGCTGAAGCGAGGGCCAGATGCTAGGTCACTCTGCTCACAAAACCAGGTCAGCCCAGAGGAAGGGACCCGTCCTCAGCTCAGCTTGGCTTGGCCTTTGGGCTTTAGGAACTGCAAGCTCCTCAGATCCATGGGATTTCTGCCCCAGTCCTCTGACTCGGAAACGGGCCGTGCCCTGAGGGGATGTCACCAAGACTTTGGAGCCCCGTGTGGGACATCCCTGGGGGCCCTCGTGACCTCCGACCAGATCCCGTACTTTGGGAATCTCCCAGCAGATTCACCCTCACCAGCTGGCTGGCTGTCTCCGGGTTCCCACCCTGGATTTGAAATCGTGTCGATTTCCCATTTCAGCAACCTCCAAGGCGGAAAACAAATCGAAGCGTTTCCATTATTCACGCACATGAATAATTAGTTGCTGAAGCCCACTCCGGATACAGGACTACAGCCAGCGAGCCAGCTGCTGGCTGTGTCATTATCGCAAGCGCCACCTTGCCTGGCGCCGGGAGTCGAGGCCCGTTAGGACCTCCGTCATCTCTGTCACCCTCGGGTACTTCTAGGCTTCTCCGTCTCCCTCAGGGCTAGTTGAGACCGAGGCTAGTGTGTGGGTGGGGTTTGGAAAATAACACTTTGCATAGCAGTGGTTTGAGCTAATGGTGTTTTCCATCTCAAAAATGTTTTACAAACACTAATTAAGCTTCGGCCCCCCCACCCCCACCCCGGGTAGGCTTAGTCAAGAGGATGCTTACGGAGTTAACTGCTTTGCCCTCATGCCACAGAAAGTCCTCCAGGAAACAGAAGTCCCGGGGACACCGCCTCACAGTCCTTCGCCTGAAAGAGGATTTAGCCCCCCTCTAGAACTCGAGCGATGGCTCGGAACATGAAGTGTCCTGTGATGCTTCATAAAACAAACCCCCCTGGAAATGCCTTTTTAAATCCCGTCCGGCTAGTATAAACCACATGTCAAAAGGTATTTTTTCTTATCTGTTACGGAAAAGTATACACTGATCATGTTGGTGCACTAGGAAAATAAACTGCAAGCC